CTTTCTATCTGTATTTTCTGTTAAATAAACTTCTTTCTCTCTCTCTCTCTCTATTGCATTTCCTTCCCCTCTCGCTCCCTGCATCTGTAATAAAATTCGCCTTCTTTCCCTCCTTTTTTATGCGCGGCCGTTACTTGCGTTCATTTGTTTTCCGCATCTTAATTGCATCGTCGCCAAATTGGATTCGGTGTCTTTCTATATTTGCATTCCCGTTGTTTTCGAATTTTCCGGCCCGTCATTTTACACCACTTACGTGTATATTCCGAGCATATTGTTCTCGTGGGTTCCCACCTGGAACATAATAAACCGCTATCCGCCCTATCTGTCTATCTATCTACCTATCCGTCTCTCTTTCGCATCGCTGAATCTTACTTTTTTTACTTGCTCTAAAGAATTTAGCAATGTAATCGGGATATTTTTGCGCGTTCTCGCTTCTTTCATATGTTATACGCGGACCGCGAACAAACTTCGGACCAATTTTATTTTCGGCCCGTAAGATATTTTTCTCCAAAATAGTCAGATTCGTTGTTCACTGCATGAATTGGAGAATCAACTACAGAGAAGCAAAACAATGAGAAGTTTTAAAAAAATAAACTATAACGTTTAAATATGCATATTTTAAGATCCTTCGTTTAAATTTTAAATCCGTATGGCATTAATTTTAGCTTCTTCTAGAAAAAATTTCGTCGTATTGTAATCTTTCCCATTTATCCCTCTCGTGCAAATATCTTGCATTCTCCGCTATGTTTGTTGCTTTTGGAGTCTCTATAATTTGGCGGATACTAAGTTGCGTCGAAATCCACGTGAATTTACTGAAAATACCATGCGAAATTTTGCCGCGAGTCCCATTCCTACTACGCTGGATGGCTATTACTTGCGCCCGTCTATATTCCGGGTAATTTGCGAGAGTAGAACGATTTGTCGAGACAACGTCGCTTATATAAATAATATGTCGTTATGCGCGAAACACAGCACGCGGAGGGAATCTCTCTCTCTCTCTCTCTCTCTCCTTCTCTCTCGTCCGTGTCATCGTGTTCACGTGCCTTTGCTGTACGATTATATAAGGGTACCTTGCGTATGCGTGTGCATGCGTGCGCGCGTGCGTGCGTGCGTG